AGCAGTGGAGGATGGTAAGAATGATGATGATGACAATCTTGCGGATACAATAAAAATACACCGAAGCTTCAAGTATAAATTGTGAATGTATCGATTGTGAGTTGGCGATGCAAAAAGTGAGACCAGTTTATTGGAGGTGATGGGGTGAGAGTGTCGTCGAAGTCGATGCCAGACCGAGGAGCTTAAAGGGAGTAGGCGCGGGATGAGGTGACAAGTAGAAGATCTACGAGAGCGAAGCGCAGTACAAAACAGCTCTCGCAAGATGGGTCGAGCGACGAAACAAGCAAGACGAACGGGCAAAGGAGGATGTTTTTGGTGGATTTGTTGTAGATTAGTTAATGAGGTGAGCTTTGACTCGGGCGTGGCGGAAGTATGTAGTGTATATGCTGCGTTTGGTTGGTGGTTTTTAGTGATTGACTTTACCGCTCAGTTGTCTCAAAGTAAGATTGAATCAAAGGCAGAATAGTAACAGTCATCGGTTGCCAAATGTAGGATGAAGGAGTGAAGGTTTTGACGGAGACCGGAAGAGAGTACAGTATCAGTCGATAGGATGAGCGGACATGTGCGGTTCCCAATTCGTTGGCTGGAAAGCAAAAGCCCAGGCCCGGACCGAGAAGGAGGGAGTTTAGGTCTGACTGAATTGGGGACAGGATAAAAAGACTGAACGGTATTGGATAGATGGATAATTAAAAAGGATGAACCCGTATTTTTTGTGTGTCTTGTGAGTTGTCGTATTCGCCGCGTTCAAGAGATCTAGTTAGGTTCTTGATGGTCTCATTGATCGATTGAGTCGATGCTTTGGGACAACCAACGTTGGGGGATGGGGATCCTTCACAAGCCCATAGTATGTATGACGGATGATTTTTACCAACAATGCAATCTCTCTTTCTCTCCTCAACTATTCTTCCTTGTACAAGCGAGGTTCAGGGGGGACAGATTTCGCTCCCAATGCCGGGTCGACGTCTTGATGTTCTTCGGCCGCAATGGCGTGACTTTTACATCGACAGGACCGTCTTGTGCGGTTCTAGTTCCAGGGGCCCTTGAACACCCTGGGAGTCCTGGACCGCTGGCGTAGCAAAAATTGGGCGACATCGTATGATGAGCAAGGCTGAGGAGGGGAATTGTACGATGGGCCAAGACCCTCGTCTATTGGCTGACTCGCGCCAGCTCGGGGGGTTGTTGCTGTCATCCGGGAGCATAAAAGGGACGGGACATTCATCAAGGTTTGTTTCTAATGGCTTGGCTTGATGGTTTAGGCTTAATCATTGCCGTATCATTCCCTAGCCAGCCTACCAACCTGTGACTTTTGAGGCATGCGCGTCTTGATGCTATATCACGTGGCGTACACATGTCCTGTTACTTTATTGAGCATTGGATGATTTTCGTTTCAACTGTCATAGCTCTTTCTTATTAGCGGCTTAGGTACTGCCAGCTGGGTCTTGGCAACGGTTCCCAACCCACACGTCTTTCAGCCTCGTGCTAGTTAGTGACTAGCAATAGCTTCTAGGCTCAGCTGGCAAGCTCTAGCCCTCATAGAGACCACTCAAAAAGCTCTCGAGGCTCACTGGTGTGGTGGGGGTCTTTCATGATCCTTGTTCTGTCTCATCATATCATGGAACCTTTTTTCACATCAGCCTCTCCTCCTTTCCTAGAGGGGCTTTCGATGGCTTTCGATGACTGCGATACTAATAGGAGATACTCGCACAATACTCGTCGCGTCGCATCAGGTGTACCTTGACTTGGAAACTGTAACCATAGTCAAATACATTTTGTGACAGCTACCAAGTGAGCGCATGTATCCATGATCACTTTCTGTAATCAGCCTGTTTGTTCAACCCGCACCCAGCCAGATTTAGGTTTAGGCGGTCAAGGGTCAGCTCCTAGCTTAACTGTCACAACGGCCTGGAAATGTTTTTTTTCTTTACTTTTGTTGGAATGCCCATTTATCGTGAAACTATTGGACTGCAGCACAGGTCTTTTCTCTTTCTTGCGCAGGCTAGTTCTGCAACCATCTCAACTATTTCCACCGAACGCACATATTTTCAAAGCGGTGTTCTATCCCATTACTTTTCGCTTAACCGCTCACGAGACATTCTGTCTACAACCACCATGATAATGAAACCTCAGCCATGAGGCTCGTCTATATAACATCAGATATGATTGCCTATGCATATAGGTGTTTGAGAATCAGCGGTTGGGCTCATGCAGACGAGGCCCCTTTGCATACCAGCTTTCTCAGGACCAGGCGGGTTACTTCAATAAACGAAGCGATGTTCTGTATCCAATTTTTCTAATGTCATGCTATTATTTCCAACACAGGTGATGTTCTCCAAGAAACGCGGCTTCGATGACTTTTCTAGTCCGGCCATCATCTATGCTCCATATCATGACCCATGGGGGATGCTTCTTGTGCGCTTCCCAGGTATCTTGTCTCCTCTTGATACTCTTTCGTTATTTTGGGACCCATGGTTTAGGAAGGTTATCCTTCCTGATACAATCTGGGCATATGTCCTGTGTGTAAACGACGTCGTGCTTATGCGAAGGGCCCTTGCATCCGTTGAAAACTCTTTGGCACCAGCGAATGTTTAGAAAACCGATGTGCCCGCAAGAAAACTCTTGATCCACCTGCACACACATGCTGTCTAATTTAAGCCCAATGCGTACTATTGTATGATACAATACCGTTGGCTGGGTTTGCTCAAGGTGTTGACACGATGGCCTATGACTTGGTGAGTCTGGAGTATACTACATAAGAAAAGCATGCAAGACTCTTCTATAGGCACGCAGAAGACCGATACCTTGCTAGAGTTTCCAAGATTCCCGCGGAATAGTTCCTGATTGAATCCATACGTCTGATAATCTTGATATTCCTGCAACGTCTCTGTCGCAAGAGTCTTCGGCACGGCACTCGGGGGCTGTCTAATAACAGCGCGCACTCTTGGCCGGCTTGATGAAAACGAGAGGGCGGGATCGAGTAGATGTGAGAGTGAAGCCCGCTTCGTTGCAGGAAACAAGCTGGGACGTTTAAAAAGATAGCCAAACGACGGTGATAGTAGCCGAGTCCCCGAGGTGTCAACAAAGGGTGGGCAAATCAGGGATTATCAAACGAGAGAGTACCAATGGCAAAACAACGACTGCAACGCCCTGGGCCATGGGCGCATGCGCACACAGCCTGCGTAGAATAACCAGATTCGACGCGGCTTCAAGGATGTGAGAGTGATAAGGCTTTGCTGGGTCAAGGGGTGCTGGCTTTTTTGTGGAAAAAGGGCTTGAGACACGAATTGAAGCATTTCACAAGATCGATCGCGATGCGCTCTCACCTTGCATGTACCTTCCTTCCCTATCTGCCTTGGTTGGCACGCACCATGACGTTGAATCCAATTTCCAGGTGCTCGGCTGCTATTTCTTCAAATGATTGGGTTAAACATAATTTAGCGTCTACCGAAGAATCCATTGCGCTTCCCTTCAAATCGCAGCCCCGTTATTCGTTTCTCACCTGCTTCAACATCAGCCTAAGAGAAAACGCCCCAAATGGTGGCTGCGAAAACCGTCACACCTACCTCCGTTATGTTAATCGGTGGGGGCTGGCCCATGAGAAAATCTACATGATCGACCTTGGCCTTCTAGAAGGAATTATTGATTTACAGTATCAGATTAAGTTTCGGGTCCTTTATGAACTTTTTTTGCCCAATCAATCAGTAATATTAATTCTTTACCTGCCACCGTGAAAAGCGTTTCGAATATGTTTACTTCTCTAAGGCGATAGACAATCCTCTTGCAATTGTACTGCGCGAAATCGTGATTAAGAATTTGTGTTTCAGATTAGTATTTACTTGTCTTGGCGGATGCTCCAGTACTTCGATCTCAATGTCTTGAATCAAGTGATGCTAAACTTACACATGCTTAACTCGACAACATAAAAGGCGTCATGAGGTTGATTTTATATAAGGAGTCGCGGTGTAGGATTTTATCAAACGTTGCTTTTAAACTTACTGTGCTACCTGTATCGTGATTGCTCAAGGTTCGACGGGTGCCTTGAGAACAATTTAAATCGAGCATGATCAGGCACATCTATCTATCTATTGTCTGTTGCGCATCAGTGTTCAATGGTATTGTCGAGAATCTAACAATAGCACACTAAAAACGCGGGGAGTGTCAGCACCGACAGAACAGCAACGAAACCCCTTTTCTGTTTGCCAATACTTGAACAAAGTTTTGGTTTCAACGGTTTACCATTCCTGTAAGCTTAGTCCTAGGCGAATCTAGCCGTTAACGCATGTTGTAGATGAGATTGTTATTGATTAATACGAAACATTTCTCTCGAGATATCAGTATAAGAAAGGAAATCATAAAAAACAAAAGATAAATCGTTCTTGTGGAAAATGGAAGTGTTGTGTTTCGAAGGCGTATGTTATTCTGTACCTCCCGGGTAGTTACAGTTGGATTTCACAAACCTCATTTTGGCCATTTCATATTATTCTTATAACTGTTTCTCTTGCTGTGGATATCTAAGACTGTAAAGAAAAATCAATATATAATGCCAAATTTAATGCTACAGAACGAACGCTTATGTGGTGTTCGTTTGCTATTCTATGTATGTGCTTATCGATCTCCGAACTACGCAGGTAGAAGTTCCGTCAAATAATTGCGATCATAGTGGTCTCGGCCCGCTCACTTATTCATTTTCCACTGTTTGTGAAAAAGAAAGCTGCTGTATTGTTTAAAAAAATTGCCTAGGTCGGTGCTCCTCATTTCGAAACCGGCGAGGTTTATTTGTAGAAAGAGCGAATTGATAGTGCCTTCCACTTACAACTGCACACCTCCTCAAACCTCTACCCTCCTTCCACCTTCCACTCTCCACCACTCCGATTTCATTATTTCCTTCCACCGCATGCCTACCTCATAGCATCTTCTCCTCAAAGCTTCTTTTATTCTTACAGCAGCAAGCAAAGAATATCGCGTCCACCTATTCACATCTTTTATGCTTGATGTTGTCCAACATGCCCTTCAAGGGGGTTACGCTTCTTTTTTGGGGATTGATCTTCCTTTCTTTCTTTTCTAGCTTGACAAACTGTTTCTCATGGAGACCTCATACAGTTCCTAATGGTATGGTGGATTGTTTCTCATATTTGCCCAGAGGTTGACACTACCACAGGGGAGGCGCAAGTTGTTATTCATCACCAGCAACACGGCGACAGCAATCCTCTCTGGAAGCAACAAGCGGATCGAAAACTCTCCAGCGCTTATAGCACTGCCCTCCAAGAGCTGCAGGATCTGGAGTCGCAGCCTCTTTGCCATCGCATCGCTGCGAGGCAACTCGTGAACAATTGTCACCTTCTGAACGGCCAGGATGATGTAAAGATCCACCTCGACAGTGGAAGGGCCGCGCGAGATTTTGTCGACTTCTACGCAGCAAGTCTGGCCATTTGTGACTTGGAGCGCGGCAGTTTCTTGATTCCAAAACCATGCTTCAAGTTCCGAGAACCATTCCTGGCAGCGCTCCCTGTCCCGACCGCCGCAAAGCTTCACGTCTCGACTAATGAAATCGACGAATGTCTCGAAGGCCTCGCACAGTCAGACTCGGCCTGGAATACCTGGGTCAGCTATCGACACAAGGCGCTGAGGTTCTGCGACGCCGCAAGGGTGGATAACCAGAAAGGCCAGTGAAAATCGAGATCTGTTAGGCACAGCCAAATTAACGATCTTTCCAGATGAGGACATCTTCCTTTACCAAAGAATCACCAGAATCCTCGAGAAACTCACAAATGATGTCGAGGCAGACCTGGAAAAGCGATTCCAATCCCTCAACCGAGCCTTTGACGCTGCAAGCCAGTCAGTGGAAGGTATTGGCCCACAGGTCAAGAACCTGCGGATGGAAATGGACAAGGCCAGTGGGATTCTCCAAAACGACCTGAGTCATGCGATCAAGGTACGCAAATCTCAGTTCGTAGGAGTAGAATACTAACAAAAAATAGGATTCTCGCGACGTTGTAGCGAGTGGATTAGAAGAAGCGCAAGCACTGCATGATCTCCTCGAGATACTCGTTCGCGCCGTCCAAGAGCACACCACCGACATCGCAACATCCCAAGAGGTTGCATTGCGAACCAGCACTGAGAAGTGGAATGACGAGGTTGGGGTTTTGGTGACAGCATTGACCGCAGTGGTCGCAACCTCACTTGATCAAATGGTAAGCTTCAGATGCCAATTGTGGGAAGCAGTTAATAACCTGACAAGGAAACGGCGGCAGCTAGGAGTGCAGGTATCCTAGCGAAACAGGCCAAAATCGAGCAAGTAAGTTATTGTATCTTAAAGGTGCGAATAAGTTGCTGATTAGTTGTAGGGCATGGGTAAGCTGGAAGAGCTCGCTGACGATCTGCTTCTCAAATACGACAGTCATGAGTCGCGACTTGATGATGCTTTGCAAAAGTCTAGCCAGGTATTAGACGTCCTTGAAGCAACTGCCGCCTCGGCTGCTGGACTTCAAGGATACATGCTTGGTGGTCTTGGGTTTTCCGGATTCTGGCCCTACGTTGTGTGCCCAGCTTTGTCGTTGGCGTTGGGATCATATAGGCTTCAGCCTTCATTTGCGCGAAACATATGGCTCGTCGGTATCGGTAAGTCATACGAACGTACCCAGATATCATCGGCTAATACCAAGGCAGGTGAACTCATGGGCATGGTTGTATCGAAAGCGAGTTATTATGCAAATATCTTCAGCTTTACTTCAGTTTTTGAAACAACCAATGAGCCGACACTCAACCAAACCTTTCCCGCCACGACATTAAAAGTACTTTACTGAGAAGCATTCAACGCGCTCAGATTTGACATTATTCAGGCTTCGTCAAGATCGGGTCTGATATTCGGTTTCTTTTTGTGATTTTCATGGGATGGCGAGCATTGCTGGTAGCATGGGGACTTTTGAAAGGCATGGTGCTTTCACGAGACTAACTTGGCTCGTATCGATCATCTAGATATCTTTGCACCGGGATTTTGGGAAATTGCGATTTGAATCGAGCATAGGTTTACATAGAGGCGTACCAAACCTGCTGAGGCTATTTGGGTGGCGCCTGGAACATATCAGTTTGCTTTGTGGTGCAGGCGTTTTGTTACAATTGATATCATGCCTCTTTCCGTATCCGGCATCGGCGAATTGATTGCCCCTATGAACTAATTTGCATTTGAGAGCCTTGCCCCACCTGAGATTTCAGCCTTGCCAGTGAATATCGATAGCGCAAAGGGGTGAAGTGGATTCAGGTTTTTGTGTTACTGTTGTTCAATCGCGAACAGGGATGAAGGCTAAAGGAGACAAGCCGTGCTGGATAGATTATGGTTGCAAAGGCTTTGGTTGTGTCATTCAGAAGTTTCATCATCGAACAACAAGGCTGAAGAAGAGAGATAAGATAACGAGCTATAGCCAATTGACATGGCGCGTTTACTCCACTTTGTCTATCACCACGTGATCCTGTCAATACAATCGGCGTCACCCTAGCCGCAGGAAGCTCGCAACTTTGTACGCAGCTGGATTTTACTCACGACGAACCACCCCTCGCCAACAACTATATCAGCCTTCGTGTCTTTATCATTTTCATTATTGATCTTGCGCGAACTCGTCTCCATGTAGAGTTCTACTGGCGATAGCCTTATTCAACCTGGTGTAAGTATTTTTACTAGTTCTGTCGCGAATCCATTCTACTGTTCTCCTGACCTCTGGGCGTCGCTTGCGCCCACGCGCACAACGGCCATGATGCATTCGTCTTATCGTCATGTTCTGTGCTGGAGCTTCTGGATCTTCAATTCTCGAATCGGACAGTGCACTGCAACTTCATGGGACACCCTGCTAATGTGTCGATCAATTTAGAACAGCATGAACAGCCAGAATCTTGGCCCAGCAGGATACGATAGAGACCACGAAATGGACGACCGACATCGAGCTTTACAGCAACGCGAGGAGATGGCCCGCCGAGATCAAGAACGAGAACGAGAGCGCGAACGTGAGCGCGACCGTGACCGAGAGTCCAACGAACGATACCAATCAACACCTCACCATAGCAGCGCTGGTTCTATCCCCATCCACCAGCCTGTCGCGTCGCGGATTTCCGGTGCAATCCATAGCCCTGGGGGACTGCTCGCCAACCATAACGGAAACCCTCAGATTCCCCTCGGTACCCCATCAGCTGCTCCTTTAGTCGCCTTAGGGTTACTACAAACCGAACACAACCGACCGGTCCAGCACGGGGGGCCAAACAACGGCAACACCCAACCGCAAATGTTTGCTCCGATGCCTCATGCGACTGGACCGCCAGCTTCGACGCAGGCTGCTACCAATAGTGGTGTGGCTGCTGTCTTTGGCGGCCCTTTACCACAACAACCCCAGGAGGGTCAGCGAGGTGGCCAGCAAGGCGCGCCATTCAACCCAGGAGCTGCATCTGCGGCCCATCAGCTTCCTGGGGGTATTACCCAGGGCCAGCAACCTATTCTTAATGTGAGTAAAGTTTGTTTATAAATTGATTGTTGGGAAGACGGGTGCCGTCTGTGGAGGGGTACGTGTAAGCGTTTGCGCAGCTAGCAGCCACCCGGCAGGTTTGCGTTTGCGACCTGGTGATGCGACAGCGCGGGCCGCTGCCAAAGCACCCGCATCCTTTCCCTCATTCACCTTCTGGCTCCTGCAGCTCAACTTCATTTACCCCTCCTTCGGAACTCTCCAAATTGCTTGATGGATCTTGTGTAATATACATCATCTATTTTGACTGGCCTGTGGTGCACACGTTCCTTTGTTATGGCAGATTTATTCGCCTGACATGGAAGCCCACAGCCTTCTTGCAAACCTTTTGGCACAGCCAGGAAACCTCGTTGGCGTCTTCAATCACGGGGGAGAGGGCATGATGCTCTTTCATGGCAACGAAGTTGGCTTGTCGGCTTCATTTCCATTTGTCAATGTAGCAAATATCCATGTTTATTGGCACCATAATTCTTTTGCTGGTCACTAACTCTTCTTTCCCCCAGGATGCCCTCACCTACCTCGACCAGGTCAAAGTCCAGTTTCACGATCAACCGGATGTTTATAACCGCTTTCTTGATATTATGAAGGATTTCAAGAGTCAGGCGTACGCCACCCAACGAATCTTGGTTATACTTGTTTGGCTAACGAGAGTATAGTATCGATACTCCAGGTGTAATCAACCGAGTCTCGGAGCTTTTCGCCGGACACCCAAATCTTATTCAAGGATTCAACACTTTCTTGCCTCCCGGTTATCGAATCGAGTGCGGCGGTGGCAACGACCCGAATACAATCCGTGTTACCACACCTATGGGTACCACGGTTCAGTCCATCCGCGGAAACCAAGGTGACGGCCATGGGCCCACCGTTAACCAGCCTTTGTTTCCTGAACGCGGCGGCCAGTGGCAGCAACAGCAGCAACAGAGGCCTCAACATAGCATTGAGAGTCCAGAGGCTCAGTTTAGCACTCCAGTGCAAAACGGCGCGAGTCTCTTTGTTCAGGCTGCAGCTCACAATGCTGCATTTAATGAGAGCAACAACCAAGGTCAGCGACGGGCTTTGCCTCAAGGCAGCGCGGCTCCTGGTGAGGGCCCTAACGCTCGTCATGCATTAACACCCACTCCAGGACAAGCTGGGGTGAACGGCAATGCGGCAAACCAGGCAAACATGGAACGTCGTGGACCGGTTGAATTCAACCATGCTATCAGCTACGTGAATAAGATCAAGGTAAAACACACTGCTCGAGATTCCTTCTGTTCAAGTATCGGATATACTAATCATGGCAAAGAACCGTTTCCAGGACAAACCTGAGATTTACAAACAATTTCTTGAGATCCTCCAAACATATCAGCGCGAACAAAAGCCTATTCAGGACGTATACGCGCAGGTGACTACTCTTTTCAACTCTGCCCCTGACCTGCTTGAGGACTTTAAGCAGTTCCTACCAGAATCTGCTGGTCAGGCCAAGCAGACTCCTAACCGAATGGAAGACGGGCCCCCAACGGGTCCCAACCAGACACCTCAACCTGCTATGAGAGATGGCCAGAAGATGCCTCCACTTGGCAGCTTTGCGCCCCCTGCCAGCGCAACAAAGGATAACAAAAAGCGCCCAAGAGCTGACAAGCAGGCTGTTCAGCCTGCGACTATCCTTGCGGAGGCGACTGCGGCTGCGCGCATCGCACCTCCTGCAGTGAACGGTAACAAGAGACCTAAACTCAGTCATACGAGACTAGGTGGTGACAACTTTGCAGTCGAACCGACATTGACGCCTGTCATGCCGGAACCATATCCCGCCAGGACCTCTTCGACATCGAATCAAGAGGAGATCGCCTTTTTCGAGCGAGTTAAGAAGTACCTCAGCAACAGATCTTCCATGAATGAGTTTTTGAAACTCTGCAATCTCTTCAGCCAGAACATCATCGATCGTAATACGTTATTCCACAAGGGCGCATTGTTTATCGGTGCAAACCCTGATCTGATGACTTTCTGGAAGAGCTTTGTAGGTGTTGATACTCACGATGTCATTATTGACAACCGCCCTGCGCCCCCGACAGACAAGGTGTCCCTCAGCAACTGCCGCGGGTATGGGCCCAGTTATCGATTACTTCCGAAGCGAGAACGCCTTAAGCCCTGCAGTGGCCGCGACGAGCTGTGCAACTCTGTACTCAACGACGAGTGGGCCTCACATCCTACCTGGGCGTCTGAGGATAGTGGGTTTGTTGCTCATAGAAAGAATCAGTTTGAAGAGGGTCTGCATCGCATTGAGGAAGAGCGCCACGACTACGATTTCAATATTGAAGCTAATCTTAAGTGCATTCAACTCTTGGAGCCTATTGCACAACAGATGCTGGCGATGTCTGCTCCTGAAAGGGATGCCTTCCATATGCCCGCTGCCCTGGCTGGTCAAAGCACATCCATCTTCAAGCGTATATGCAAGAAGATCTACGGCGAACGAGGTATTGATGTTGTTAACGACATGTTCACTCACCCTTTCGACGTCGTGCCTGTTTTGTTGGCTCGTATGAAACAAAAGGACGAAGAATGGCGATTCTCCCAGCGTGAGTGGGAGAAGGTCTGGCATGCTCAGACTGAGAACATGCACCTCAAGAGTTTGGATCACATGGGCATTCTTGTGAAGCAGAACGACAAGAGACATCTGACTGCAAAGCACCTTGTCGATGTTATTAAGACAAAGCACGAGGAGCAACGCCGTGAACGATCACTGAAGGGCGGAATCCCTCGTCATCAGTTCAGCTGGGACTTTAGCGACAAGGATACCATCATTGATCTTCTACGTCTGATGATGCTGTACAGTTTGCACAATGGCCAGCACAGCAGCCAGGAGAAGGAACGCATCCTTGAGTTCTTCGAGTCTTTCATCCCTATGTTCTTTGACATACCAGAAGAGAGCATCCAGGACAAGCTCCCAAAGATGCAGCCAGACTCTGGCGAGGAAGAGGTTGAAGATAACACACCTGCGGAACTTACCAATGGCCGAAGCCGACGTAACGGCCGGAAAGGAGATCTCCTTAGAGGGGTTCTTGATCCTGGCCGCAATGGCAGCAAACCTCGCGGCAACAAGGAAGACAGTGGTTCTGGAAGCAAGGAGACCACTCCTGATGTCACCTCTGCAAATGAAGAGGAGATGCCCGACGCCTCTGAGGACGCTACGAACACTGAGATTTCTAACGACCGCTGGATGCCTAACATTCCTAAGCCAGTCGTCGTTGGTGATAGCGACGCTATCTTGAGTACGGAGGGCGAACTGAAAGCTGACGGGTTCTTTACTCGGCCCTGGTACAATTTCTTTTGCAACCAGACCTTATTTGTCTTTTTCAGCATCTTCCAAACTCTCTACAGACGTCTTCAAGATCTCAAGGAGGCTAAGGAAGTAGTAGCTAAAGAGGTCGACCGCCTCAACAAACAGAAGCCTGCCCGGGACATTGGTTTCACCGAGAACCACATGAAGTTTTTCGACGCCAATGACGACCCTGATAGCTACTGGCCCAAGACTCTAGAGCTCATTGAGGAGTATATCTCAGGTGACGTGGATGAGAGCCGCTACCAGGATGTGATGCGACACTACTACCTCAAGACTGGATGGAAAGTGTACACGATTCAGGATCTCCTAAAGACTCTCTGCCGTGTTGCTCTCACCTGCAGTAGCACAGATGCTAAGGAGAAGACTCCTGATCTGATTGCTCAGTACCAGGCTAGTCGCGAGCGAGAGGAGACAAGCTTCCAGACTGAGATCAGTGCTCGTAAGTTTGCAGAGAAGTGTGTTAAGGACGGAGATGTCTTTGTGATATGCTGGGTAAGTCAATGCCTCTTTTTCTTGTCTTTTTCCAAGTTGCTAACAGATATTCTAGCTGCCTGCCAAGTCTGAGGCGACTGTGCGATGGCTCCAACGGGACGAGACAACATTCTACATGGACGAAATGCAGCTCCGCGAGCGTTGGCAATACTACATCTCGTCATTCATCCGTGTCGAACCCACTGAGGGAGTTCAAAGATCGAAACTCCAAAAGGTGGTGCTATCCCGCAACTTGCCATCGGCTGACACCGATAACGACGATGATGCCATCCCCAAGCCTGTATCCTACAAGGAGAACCTGACAATCAGCATTTGCCTGAAGAGTTCTAAGATGGTCTGGGCTCCTGGTACTTCGGAATACGTTGTTTACGACCAGGCCCCCAAGTCGGCTGAACAACGTGAGCGTCGTGAGAAGTTCACTCGCGCTCTGAGCACACACCGAGAGAACAAGCTTCTCGAGAAGTGGGTGCACAACCCGGCTTGGACCAAAGACCTTAGTCCAGAGGAGGTTCAGGAGCAGAACAAGAACTTCCGCAACTGGATGGATGATGGCATCGTTCCGCCCAGCGCTGCTGAAGATGTGGAGATGGACTAGCCCTCTACTCCCCAACAGGAGCAGCAGCAGGAGTTGGAACAGGAGCGTGGCCCAGATGCCGTGATCTCGCAAGTTGAAACGTCCATTGTGAAGTTCGACGGCAAAGGCTCACGGAAGAGGTCTGCAGACCGTCCAATCTCTGCTCCGCTGGAGAAAAGGCGATGCAGTCCTCGTCATGTCAAGGCGTGAATCAAGTATTGGCTATTGGGCGAAGTAGAAAGAACATACTCGCGGAGGAATAAAGGGGGGAGAGGGAGTGCTTGTATCACATCAGCGATTTTGACTGCTTTGCATTTTTGTTCGAATTGTCCCATTCATGTTTTTTTTAGTCATTGGAATTCCTAAAAGGCGACGGAGGATGCGCACTTGGAAGGTATGCCGTACGTCAATGTCTTTCTTATAGGGAAAGCTCGTTATGATTATTTTTGAGGTTTACAATTCCCTTTGGCCTGTACTCTAGACACTATATAAAACCAAGAACACCACGATTGTTAATACCAAAACGCCCCAGTCCGGATCATTTGAAGTTTTGATATTGGAGTGACTGAGTAAGGCAACTTTTAGACTGATAGGAGTCCGATCATACTCAGAATTGCCATGTCGAGCCTCTGCCGCTCTGTTTGGTTTTGGGTTACATGAGGTTTGTTGAGGATAATCTCTTGTCTGATATCCTTGGCTGTAAAGGGGGGAGTATTAGTGGACTGAAAACCTCCATGAGTATCATAAGCATCACTCACTCAGCAGTCCCTTTCCCGATTTAAACGCAGCTTCCATTCTCTTGTATCGCCAATCCCTCGAATCCCTACTCAGCCAAACTTATCATGCTTACTCTTGACCTTGATCTCAAGCAAAGCCTCATGATAATCTCCCTCCCTCCTAGCCCTCTTGAGCTTCCTCACCTCATCCTCATCCAACCTCCGCCCCGCAGCATCCTCCAGCTCGCGCCGACTGATCTTGGCAAGCGCCTTTTCTTCCTTTGACGCGCGCAGCTTGGGCTTGAAGCGAGCTTGCATCCTGATGCGAAACGTCGTGTCGAACGAGATGGTGTCGGCGTCGCCGCGCACGTCGCATGTTTTGGAAGATGCCTTGTTGGGGGACTTTATGCTGAGGAATGTGTCGCGCAGGGTTTGGATTTGGAATGTTCCTGGTGTGTCGCCCGTGGGGATGATGTTGAAGGATTCGAGGGGGGATACGGCTTCTGCTGAAGCGGAGAGCATTCCGATCTTGTCGCAAGAGAGAAATCTGTAGCCTTGCGTATTAGTTACACGTCGCAATGCGTGACCGAGAACTTGACTTACCGTCCGTGATGTCCCTTGAAGCGAAAGCTCTCTGTGCCTGCTACGCGATTCACGATCCAGACCTGGCGCACATCATGCGGTTCAGCGGTAGCAGGATTCCCATCGACAATGTTCTCAATAGGAACCGTAAACACCTTTCCTGTCGCATCGCAAGCCAGCGCCGAAGGCATATCCGTAGGGAGAACAATCATGATAGGTCCTGAGACATCAGTGGTCGCCTCGGCGGACACCCAACTATCGTCATTCTCTGCTTCTTCAGTGGTGGTGGCCTTTTGGACCTGGCCTGTTTCGTCGTCTACAGCATCGCGTGACGATTTCTCGACATCTGTTCGCTTGCGCTTCTTGACTTTTTTGTCGCCTTTAAAGGTCAATGGCTTGACCATGATTGTTTTAGTGAGTGAGTGGTTGTTGAAAGTCAAGTGTTTGGACCGACGGTCAACGCCGGGATACGGCGAGCTCCACTCCCCGAAAGAGGTCAATAACAGGAAGGTGATTGGTTATGTAATACTTATTCCCCCGCAACTCATGGTAACCTTGTGTAAGAGAAAAAGAATAATAAGTGAATTAACCAACTTGATCTCTTTCAATTTCAAATCTCATGATATTTTTGGTTATTTCCTGAGTGAATTTGCACTTCAATATGGTTGCTCAAGCACAAGCTGTTTCCGTGTCTCTTAACGACCTCAAGGATGGTATGGACCTTTTGACTCTTATACTCATGATAGCGCCGCTCTCATGATGAGGAGATATTTCCAGCTTTCACTTATAAGCGAGTAAAAACTAATACTCCACAGGCAACATCCCATTCGAGACTCTTAAGCAAGCTTTTGGTCCAGACTCTCTTGGTATCCTCGTTGTAAAGGATGTCCCTCAAGAGTTCCCTGAACTTAGACATCAGGCTCTTTCCTACGCCTCATATCTCGGCAACCTCCCCAAAGAGGAATTAGGTATGTTACCGTAAGCCCTTTGTTTAGTATCGCAGTCCTCCTAACAAGATCGATAGAAAAACTTGAGAATGCTCGAGCCAAGTACCTAACTGGCTGGTCTCTCGGCAAAGAGACTCTCAAGAACGGCCAGGTCGACACCTTCAAGGGCTCATACTACGCCAACTGCGCATTCTACATTGACCCATCTCTCGAATGCGCCAAGCCAACCGAGGAGTTCTCTACTGATAACTTCCCCGAGTATCTGTCCCCTAATGTCTGGCCGCCAGAGGGAGTCCTCCCAGGCTTTAAGCCCTCTGTGACATCGCTGTGCCGTCTCATCATCGACGTAGCCGTTCTTGTCGCTCGTGCATGTGATCGCTTCGCTCAAGAGGATATCCCAGGATACCCCGCTGGATACCTTGAGCACGTCGTCAGCACATCCAGCACCACCAAAGCGCGTCTTCTGCACTACTATCCTCAAGAGTCAGAGCAATCTGCGACCGGCGGCGATGAGGATGACTGGTGTGCTACACATCTCGACCATGGATGTTTGACTGGTCTTACCTCAGCCATGTTTATCGACGAGCACAAGACCAGCCCTGCTGTACCAGACGTTACAAACCTGAACGGCGCTTCTCTACCACCCCTTGCGGAACTCCCCTCATCCCCTGATCCATCAGCTGGCTTGTACATCAAGTCCCGTACCGGCGAGACCGTCCAGGTCAAGATCCCTCGCGACTGCATCGCATTCCAGACCGGCGAGGCCTTAGAGCGCATTACTGCTGGTCGCTTCAAGGCTGTGCCTCACTTTGTTAGAGGTGTACGACCCAGTGTCAGCGATGGAAAGGTTGCTCGCAACACGTTGGCGGTCTTTACTCAGCCTAACTTGGGCGAAGAGGTTGATATTGAGCAGCATCTCACGTTTGGAGAGTTTGCTCGTGGTATTGTTAACAAAAATACTGTTTCGTAAAAACTATCATTATATTTGGCCCCGAATCAACAAAAAAAAAAAGAAAACGCCTCTATTCAAGCATATATAACTTAGTATGATCCTCCAGCGTCCAATAATAGCTTTATCATTGTGTCTCGGTCTTCGTAGCTATAGTATTTTCTTGAATCGCATGCTATCCTGGCAGGAGAATTCCCTTCAGAAACTTCAGCTGCAGGATCAGCTCCATACTTCAACAATTCCCTCGCAATGGCTATTGCCCCGAAGTGAACAGCAATATGTAACGGGGCGAGGTCGTGTCGAATCACTTTATCCTAAGCCACAGGGTCTTCAAGGTATTGCAATTCTCGACAGCTGCAGTATATGTCTTGTCTACCGCCTTGTCTCCTTGAGCGATTCAATAAATCATCAAATGCAAACGAAGCCCGGTCATCAACGAGGCTACCCTTTGATATCAGCTTCTGGATAAGCCGTGCTTCTTCGTCGGTGCCATTACCGCAAGGATGCATGGCAAGGCAATGCAACGGCGTCCAGCCATTATATGTAATAACAACAGGATTAGCGCCGCAAGACAGAAGTAGCCGGGCTGTCTCTATCTTTCTAGATAACCCTGCGATATTTGGAGATGTAGGTGCTAGTGCGCTTAGGAACGGCGTCCATCCCCTTGATGCAGTTTCATTCACGCAAAGGCCGACGCCATCAGATAGTAGATACTTTACAATATCGACCTGGGCCCCAGCAGATGCAAAAGGCAATAGCGTCTCCTCTTTGTGGTTTCTTGATCTTAGGGTGGATTCTCTCTGCGATCCGGTTGGCAAGTTTGAGAGTAGGATGTGAAAAGTGTCTAGAGGAGATGCATATGCAGCACATTGTAGAGGAGTGTTCCCATATATGTCTTTGTAGTTAATAGAAGCGTTGAAACGGAGAAGTAGACGGAACACATCCTCACTTGGCTCCTCCACTAGAAAGATATACTTGACCTTGGGTTCCTTTCGCTTGTGTGCCCCTAAAGAATGCAACGCAGTCTGGCCTTGACTGTTGACCATGTTGGGATCAGCACCGTAATTGAGAAATGCTTCCAGGCAGCTATAGAGTTGCTTATGGAGAGCAGTCCATATAACGAGAGGTCCATGGATACTTATCCGGCTAGCTCTGGGGTTCTTGGGGTCGGCTCCAGCGTCCATCAACACTTTGATTGATTGTGTCTGTGCCACAAGTTCAGATTCTGTATGATCTCGACGATCAAAGTATGACCTAGCAACTATTACTTGGGCCAATGCGAGGTTAAGCAATTCCTGCTTAAAAGGGCATTGAGACAGAAGAAATTCAATATTGCCATATCTCCAGTTGTTCGCTGATGCAATCAAGGCACGGCCTTTAGATTCCAAAGACCAACCATCGTGCCCCCAATTCAATAGATCAGATATTGTAGCAACGTGGCCATACTCTGCTGCATCACACAGACAACCATCGAGCTCTTGTGTATCAAAGGTATCGCTATTAGGGTTGATATGTTGCCAAAGATGATGGAGGATATTTTGATGATCCAGACGTGCGGCTACCCGTATAGGCGTTGTGTTGAATTCTTGCTGAACAAAATGAGGGCGTCTGAGAGGGTTGGCGCCAGCGTTAAGTAAGATATCGACTGCCACCAAGTTGTCGAGATATATTGCAATATGGAGTGCCGTGCCACAATGACCATCGGATTTGTCGATATCTTCTGGACTTGAAGTCTTAAGGTCTTGTAGTTTGTTAAGATCACCAGCGGCGACGGACCAGTGGAGGGGGTAGTTATACCATATACTATCTTCTATCCCAGATAGATCTGGAATAGATGGAGGTATTCGCATGGTCAGATGTAAGTAAAGAAAGAGTTGGTAGTTGAAAGGTGTAAGTTTCCCAAGGCTCAATCTCAAAGTGGAGGAGCGCTGCCTGGTTAGTGGGCCATGGACTTAACCAACAGTCTCTGACTAGGTAGTATAGCTGTAACTAATGAGGGTTACTGATAGAAGAAGCTTCTGCTGAGCTGTACGCACAGTAGCCGTTTCTTCCTCCTGGAACCATCGATCTACCAAGTTTGTCAAAGACCCTCGAAGTCGTCCTAATATCAAAGCAATCAGTCAATCCCTGGTCCCTCTGCGCTCTATATATATGCACATAACTGAAAGGATGTCGACAAGTCGATCATATGTCACTAGCGAGAAGCAGAAAGGTTAGCCTAAGAAGTTTGATACAAATATTTTAAGTTGTTCTACTAATTTCATCCCTTATTCTCATACTAGCCAATTGTTCTGATACTCTGAGGGTTGGTAAAACGAATGGTTTATTGTAGCTTATCTAGTCCAGAGACCTCGAGACCATATATCATACAACAAAAGCTATCCATAGGCATGTCGTTCCTGTATATCTTGTTCCACAAGGTCCGTGTAATGAATGGAATTTGAGCTGTCTCAAATACTACCTAAGACGGTAGTGTCGTGAAAGGAAAGGTCGCAACATAATTGCTACAATAGAACAGAAAACGGAGAAACCCATGTGAACAGTGTTTAATTCACTAGAAAGCAATTAAACTGAACATGGGTGAGAGAAAGAAAATAATCCTGATACTCGAATCATGCAAAAAGCATTACTGGTAATATCAAGAATGCTGCGGTTCATCCGCCAAAGCCACAGGCTGCTCAGCCATATCTTAAAGTAGCGTACCCGTGAAGCAAGTATGCGCAACAGAATTGTGAACAACTCAATCAAGCCCAAGCGCCAACAAGACTCATGAAAAAAGCCCCGAAGAACACAAGAAGGCAAGCATAAACACGCTTGCGGCCGCGGAGGAACTGCCAGCTCTCATCGCTAAGGAAGTCTTGAGAGAGAAGCTCAACCAAGGAGGCAAAGGTAAGCAATCCAGCCGAGATGGCATTCATGACGCCCACAACGATAAGCCCTGTCTCAGAGTTGGGGCTATAGAGCGTGTGGGTAGCAAGGCCGAGAGCTTGTCCCAGAGGAGTGCTGTTCTCAATGTTAGTTGACGATATAATGTCGGCGGTGAGTGAGTACTTACGTGCATCCGTATGCAAGGGCCATAAACCAAGGCTGTAGCTTGCCGTTGGGCCACTTGATGGAAGCAATTCGAGAGCCCAACGCCAATCCTTCAAAAGTTTCTGTAACCCGGTCAGTCAACTGACATGAAAACACTAAGATAACGAAAGAGCTTACGGTGAAAGACAATGGCAATGAGGAGAATGATAAACTCGTTGCCGATCGAAACGCTTAGCGCCATACCGATAAAGATGCTGTGGAAGAGAATGCCAAGCTCGAGCAGGACGCATTGGAGAAGCTCCTTGCGTTGCTGCTGCTCTGGGGACAAGACAGGCATCTGTACAGCCTCGAGGCTCGTCTCCTCGAGGTTTTTTCTTCCGGAACGGACATTGTCGTCATCTTCACAAGCTTCTTCTTCCAGATCCTGCATGCGTACGTCTCTGCTGTTGAGAGTGGAAAGGTTCTGGCCAATGCTTGATGATCGTCCACGAATAGGCCCCATGTCACGAATGGGGAGCATACCTGTACCCCCCATGCATCCGCCGCTGTTTGAACCAGTACATCCTTCCTTGGATGTGGTGATCTCGGCAGGCGAAACGTGTCGAGAGGGGTGGAACACCATCTCAATCACAGTGACAAGGAAGATGGCAGCAAGAGCAATAGCACCAGGAATAGCAGGGTAGTCCTGATTCCAGAAGCTGCTCAAGCAAGGATCGCCAAGTGAAATGAAAGCAGTGGGGAGCAAATGGACAAAGGCAGTGGCGATCAGCACGCCAGTACCGAAATGACGGACAGCAAAAAAGAAGCGATTGGGGATCCTCAGCCCTGGGAGCTTGGCGGCCATGATGGGGAACGCACAAGCGAGTGTCGAGACGAACAGGATAATGAAGACGGCACCGACATGAAGAGGAGTGTTGTATTCACCCTTGTCGACGCCTCCAGATTCGCATGTGCTCGCTCGCTTGCGCAGAGGGGAGAGATGGACAGGAGTCGACTCCTGGACCATCGGGGGCGAGGTCATGACAACAGGCGCAGGGGAGTTCCAGTAAGAGATGAGTGTCGAGACGACAAGAACAGAGAGGACCCAGACAGTCCAGCTCCAGATGTGCGAGGCACATGACGAGAAAGTGCCTCGATGAAGACGGATATGGTCAACACCACCATTTACCGTCTTAAGACACGAGGACAGTCCTGGGATTGTTAGTACCTTATATGTGGGTTTGACAAGGGAGGATCATAAGATTTTGGACATACCCGAGATACGGGACTGTCGTCCCGCATCCTTGAGAGAGCCTTTGAAAGGCTCTGCAGGATGACTCCCTGCTTGATTACTATCATCGTGCCCATTGAGTAGACTCCCAGCCGTCCCTCCGCTCCCATCGTCCTGGGCAGCATCAACATGCTCGCGGAGGTTAGAGATGCCATTGAGATCCTGGCGCGTAGTTTGCGAGGCAGCCAAGGGGGAAGGAGCCTGGTTCCAGGTCAAGCGCTGGTAGAAGGACTCATCTGCTTTGGAGAGACAAATCATGATGAATTGGTTGATTGATTGATTGGTTTGGAGGAATTGAAGTGATGGAACTGGAAAAAGCGACTAAGCAGACGCCAAAGTTTGTTGTCTTCCTTCACAAGCAAAAAAAGAGGCCACGCGACAGCACAAGATAGACAGAGTCGGACCGAGTAGTAAGTAAGCAAAGTAGTCAATGATTTATAGTTTGATAATGATAGCAGACAAATAACATCGATCCTAAAAGGTTTTTAGAAGTAAGTAGCTGAGATGAGACGGGGGTAAGGTTTGATAAATAAAGTATTCTACGGCTTATTCTAACCCAGTAATTTAGTGCAAATCTTTAAATACGGCAGACAAAAGGGTTAAAATGTATGCAATGCACCTGCACCTGCTGCTAAACTAGTGACGCTGACTGGGGGGAAACCGGGGACCCTCGTATCCACTCGCACCTGCCCTGACACAGAAACTGGGGGAGACCCACTCCATCAGGAAAAGGAAGTAGAGATCCCCGGTTTCGCCCGTGACCAAGATCAAAAAAGATTGGCAAGAACCGACGACAGCCATTGTTAGACTCAAGATACACGAGAATACACGGAAAATTACTACAGATTCAAGGTACCTTCCCGTCTTCCCCGCAATCTCCTCCGTCAACTCCCGGTGAACTACTAACGAAAAAGACTGCGGCTCAGCACAGCAGCACTTCGGGAGACCTCCGTAAGCCCTGACCAGGATGGAAATCCATGAATAGAACCCGAAGCCAAATATCCATATCCCATATCCTGGACAACAAAGTCCAGCCCAGACCAGCCCAAGAATATTGATCACTTGACAAGAAGAAATCTTAGTCGACGCCGAGACAACAAGGTTAAGAAATAAAACTGTTCCAGATTGTTGATTACCCCGCAAAGGAATACGCAATGAATACGCTTCGTCTTGGACAATGATCAGATCACGCTCTTTGTAGCAAGACGGCAGAGCCTCTTAGCTCCCCCGTCTTGGCGCTCTAATGCCGTAGGTATATGTTTCTTATCGGTGAGTCGAGGTGAGGCCCGAAAGGTCGAGGCGCATCATTTGCTTTGTTTGCTTATCTCACCAATGTGCGCGGCATGTGCAACAGTATACCACCAATTCTTCAAGTTGCAAGCAGAAGAAATATGCGGTAGAACGGAACACAGTGCTTCTTATAAGCTTAAAATATTCCGAAAACTAAAATTGATGGGAGGGCTGCACACGGGCAGCTACTGAGATTACATAGGTACCTTGGTGAAGGCCAACCTCAAGATACCTCCATAATATTCTTGAGCTTCCGACAATGCGGTAAACTTCGGAAGCAAACGAGGCCCGAGTGACGATATAGATCTAACAGTTTTATCGATGATGCGTCTCGTCATGACCACTTCTCCACCAATTACTTGTTTCTAGGTAGTTCCGGTAGCTGTCGACAGGGATCCAGCAGTCACTACTCACCTCTTGTCTCTTCTACTGACTTGACAATAAGTGATTGCCGACATAGAGGCACAAAAGGCATGACTAAAATGAGAGGCTTCAGTGAGAAATCAATAGGTATCATGAGATGGGTTGAGCCTACCTTGATGTCTTACCTATACGAGATGCAAAATAGATTACATAAGGCGTCATGATGCAAGCTGCACCACGATTGCATCAACCGAACTGACATCATTCTTCACATGAATCCAAACTCCCATATCTCAACATTGTAAAACTTCAACCTCACCTCTCAAATCAACACTTACCATACCTACTGCACTGTAATCATGGCTCTTCCTCCCAAATTCGCAGGGCAAAAGCTCCAATTCGCCCATCCTCCCGCCTCAAACTCAGGCGTCGCCCACACAACTCACACCCTCGAGTTCTACCTCGACTACTGCTGTCCCTTCTCCGCCAAGATCTTCCGCACCCTCCGCTCCGACGTGATCCCCGCCGTTAAAGCCCATGAGCACTGGGCATCGAGCCTCACATTTATCTTCCGCCAGCAGGTCCAACCATGGCACCCTTCGTCAACGCTCATGCACGAGGCGGGCCTGGCAGTTCTGCGTCTCGCACCCGAGCGCTTTTGGGACTTTAGCGCAGCTTTATTCGAGGAGCAAAAGGACTTTTTTGATGTGTCTGTCGTGAACGAGACACGCAATGATACTTATCGTCGTCTGGCCAAGATTGCGGCAAAGACGGGCGTTGATGAGAACAAGGTGTACGAACTGCTTGTGATTCCCGACAAAGCTGGTGATGATGGAGCGTTGAATGCGGGGAATCAGGTTACCAACGACCTCAAGGTTATCACCAAGATGAACCGCCTGATTGGCGTGCATATTACGCCTACTGCTGTGTTTGACGGCGTGGTTCAGGATGTTAGCTCTGGTTGGAACAAAGACCAGTGGGTTGAGTGGTTGCAAAAGAATATTGTCTGACTACCATTGGAGGGTAACAAACGTACGAGCCATAAGCTCTAATGACAACGAAGAGCTGTCACCAATTGTCCGTATTAGTAGTATCTATGGTGATAATTTCTCAGATAACCCTGTGTGGATTCAGCACCTCCCCACCAAGTTAGAATGGACTCATTTTTGACGACATGCTCATGAGCCTCATGAAATCAACACTCACACATCAATCACAATGCTTCAACTAAGAATGATAATACCACGGCTACGGCCAACTCAATTGGCTTCACTCACCCGCCAAGCAACGCCCATCCAATCCTCAGCCCTTCCTCGAAGTTTCCGCCGCTCACTTCAGAAATCTCTACAGCAAGCTCAATTGCGATGCTATGCCGTCAAACCCATAGCTGCTCCCAAAAAGCACAACAAGATTGAAGATGAGTTGAAGAGACAGGCTAGAGCTGTAGCCAAAGAGGGAAAGGAATTTGGTGTGTGTTTTCTCTGTGATATTTGCAACATGTACTAACTCTCATTCTAGAACTCCCTGAGAAACTCATCATATACCATGGCGGTACAGGTCGTATCACGTTCATGGCCATGCTCAAAATAACAACGCTCTTCCTCGGCGCATTCTTTTGCTTCATTGTAGCACCGAGCTATGTCAAGGCTGAGAAGCCCGAATGGGTTACCGCAAGCAGTACGTCCATCTTTCACACTCAATCAATCACAAACATAGTAACTAACAAATCAGTCGTTCTCTGCGGCATCGTCCCCATCTTCTTCGTCGCGTACATAACCTCCCCCTTCGTGACACACATCCACATCCACCTTCCCCCATACGCCCGTACCTCACGCGCTCTTCTGGAACGCTTTATCAAGGCGCTCCCGCCATCCACGCCTCTAACCCTGACCACCATGAGCGCCATCTCCAAGCCTCGCTACAGCAGCATTCAGGCCGGCGATTTGAGCCCTGTGCGACGCCGCTTCGGCCTCATCAACTACGTGCGTGACACCAAGGAGGAGAACGCTAAGCGTAGCTGGTATATGTTCCGTGCCGTTGGCAAGTTCTACATCCAGGACAAGAGGCCGCAGACGAGGGTGCGGTATCAGAAGAAGACGGACAAGGTCGATGGTTGGATCTGGGACTCTATCAAAGAGCGTGTTGACAATAGGGCGCTCAAGGCTGCGTCACCCTACAAAGGAGATCCCACTGTTTGAACTGGTCGCTGGGTAACAACAGGCTTGGCTTGTATCAGAGATCCAGGGGGTATTCAAACCCCTTGACATCATCGTATGTGAACCCCGAGATAGATGGAAACTTGAAACATAGATGGCGTGATACGGCTCCAGCCCTTTTGACTGGTCATGATTAGCAGACATGCCACCAATGGGAAAAGTAAACGATAAAGTTTGCAAACAAAGCGCCATACACACGCAACAATGGTATTCCTGTGTTGCAGTAGATAGATATATCTAAAAACCATTACTCCGTTCCGTTTTCCTGTGTTGCCAATGCTCCGTCCGAAGCGTTCCAAGTCGTCAATCACGTAGACAAATATTGGTACATGGGTCCTGCCTGTCCTACCAAAACGCACCTCGTGAACCTCGTCCTGTGCATTTACCACGTCCGGGTCCGAGTATCCAACGCTTCCATCATAGCTCGTTATATGTCCTTGTTGATCCGTCCAACCAATATATCCAACCGGGTTCTGTACAATATGCAAGCCCCTTGCCGTTATTGGGGCCTCCAAATTATGTCGTTAACAACACAAAGTTTCCAAGAATCTTCATATCAACAAGTTTTGTGGGACTTGAGAGCCTCGTCTGTTCGGCCAGAAAAATCACAAGTGATTCAACACTTATGGTCCGTTCTGGCACAAACTCTTTGCCGGATCACGGCTCGCCTAATAAGAACCAGCCTCAAGAGTATTCAGCCTCAGTGGGTGATAGCTCTATCAGCAATAGCCTCTTTTTATCAGTGTCTCTTCATCACTGCCACACCATCGTAGTCCCAGCCTCGCTTCAATCCACCCTCGTAAACACTTGCAACCGACTCTTGCCACATGGCTGGCGTGACAAAGTTGGGCACGGGAGCAGCCGAGTATTGAGGTGGCGATATTTGATGCGATCCAGTTGGCATTGTTGCCTGGACGGCTTGGATGTCCTGGATGGTGGGAACTTCCGTAGCACCTGAGGACGACGCGTTAAGAGGGCTCGTGTGAGGTGGGGTATTGCTGGCTTGTGAATGGGAAGCAGGCGTACCAAATGTGGTGTTCCATTGTCTGTTCACAAAGTTAGAAAATCGTAAGGAAGATATGAAATTATCAGTGACTTACTCAAATAGTCGGGATGGGTTCCATCCTGGCTGATCCGCCATTGATAGGCTCTGGGGCATACCGGGACCTTGCGTTCCTTGCGACATCATGACGAGCGACTGTACAGCTGGGGAGTCACTTTTGCTGTCCATTGGGCCGGCTGATATGGGAGGTGTGATGGGGTGGTTGATATAACTGACTTGTTGGGCACCGTGTGTATCCAAGTGCTGGTCTATGGAGCCTGTCCGGTGAATGACTGGTCTGAAAGGCTCGGAACCTCGAGGGGGGCTGGAATGGGTGGATGGGTGAG